TAATAGATAGTTCTTGTGCTTCATTGCGTCATTCAGCAGGCTTTTAACCTGGAAAATCCTGGACATAGAAATGGTGAAAAACAGTTTAATGGTCTTTTGTCCCCCACCTTTACACAGCACAGCCTCTGAAGCCGTGAGCATGGCTGCAGACTTGTTGTCTCATTACTGTGTAGTACAGTGTAGTTTTACCTCCTCAGGTCCACAGTCAAATAAACAGTCAAAATACACGTCGCTTCTTAGGGCTGATAGAAGATAAAGTTGGAACTGGAGGTTTACACTGTGTACATGTCATAGATCAGATAAATATGTTACATGTCTTCTTATTCTGAAGGTGTGACGACAGACACGACCCTGAATGGCATCTCATCTCCAGAGTGGCTGTTTCCCGCAGCGTCTGGCCTGCCAGATGTCATCTTCTATTACAAGTAAATAAGATCACAATTTATCATTTATTTATTTTCATTCATCCACTGTGATGCTTAAGAGTACATATTTGATGCTTGTGAAATTTGCCACATATTGGAAGTTAAGATCTTTATGTTTGTGATGTTTCCAGGTCCATTGAGACGACTCAGGCCTGTAAACAAGGCAGGTCGACCACCGTCAGGCTGAGATGTAACCCCACAGTGACTGCTAAAGACCACATCACGCTGCCAAGGTAGCTTTCACTGCGACCAAGCTCAACTTTTGACCCTACAAGAGTTGCTCAGAAAACTTTTGATATTACACACATACTGTATTACAGCAGTCACACTGAGCTCTGAGCTCTGAGCTGTGGACAAAGAGGCTCCTCTGAGATTTTTTTTCATCACATACAGGTTGTAATCATCCCTCTTATCTGTGTTTTCCTCCATAGTAACTGTTCAGAGGGGACGTGTGATGGTTGTACTTTCCACTTTCTGTGGCAGAGCCAGCATGCATGTCCACTCTGCACCAAAGACCACTACAGAGAGATTATCAGCGCTTGTGTCCAAGGAATACAGGTAGAGCTGCACAGGCACGGTCATACTGACAAAAATAATTTTACCTCCTCAACCCCACAAACCCATCACAGATCCATCACAAACTTGCATTGTTTGGAGAAAAATATTGAAATGTTTAAAATTTCTATTATGTCAGACTGAATTACAGGGTTAAAAAAAGATAATATCATATGCAAGACAAAATTTCCATTTTATATGACACTTTAACTCTAAAGAGGGGCGTCTTGCATTTCTTTAAAAGGGAACTACACCCAAATTCATACATAGGAATACTATGGTCTATGACAGTCAAAAAGTCTTAGTAAAAATGAACAACTCTCTCCCAAATGCAAAAACTACAGTGCTAAATCCCTCAAAGATGTCATTTGTTTAAAGTCTGGAGCTGCTCCACAGACAATGAATTGGGAATGACGGCAAGGGAAAGCCAAAATCACAAGGCACACCTGTATTTATATCTGTGCACATTAGCTGCTATAACTTGTGTTATCACTCTTATCATGACATAAGACAATAAAAACAAGAAAAAATAAGACAGGTAGCTTTCCTAATACTGTCTACTGACTCTTTTCTTTCGTTGGTAGGTTGTCTTCACTGGTGCTTTGTTGTAATTTGCAATAAAGCGGCTTTTTCCTTTTAAATGTTATCACCCGTCACACTGGCTGCCAATCAGGGCTTTTCATGACTCACACACTTATAATTCCCACCTGCGAATAGCGACAAATAGATTCCCTGTGAAGGTTTTTCAAATTTGATTAAATTAAATTACATTTTTTAGCTAGAGTTTGCCTCTTTATTAGGAAATGGGTGCACACAGCATACTGATACAGCCAGCTAAAAATTAATTCATCACTTTTTGTATAGGCCCAGTTGAATATTGCAGTAATAATGTGTGGTTATCACAAAATCCCACAGCACACCAGTGTGCCTGCTGCAGCACACCATTTGAGAACCACTGTTCTAGATAACACTGAGAACAACCAGGGGAATGTTCAGTATATGGGTGTATTTTCTGTTTCAGACCTGAGAACATTACAATAGAATAAAGCTCATCTGGGTATAAAAAAAAGAAAATAAACATACTGTGGTTCCACAAAATCAGTCTCCTATTGATTGGTCTCATGTTTCTGGCTTTGAGAGCGAGAAGCCCATGTTGACAGACATTGATTGATGTCTATAAGCATGATGCCGACACAGTGAAACACTGGAACACACATATATAATGTTTAAGTAAGTTTTATGGGAAATTTAAAGCAATAGTATGACATTTTGAGAAATAACACTTATTCACTTTCTGGCAGAGATGAGAAGATCAATCTTGGAACACATCAGCTTTCAGTCTGAGGATGATAATCCTCTGGGGGCGATGGCCAATATTTTGAGCTGATCTGATGTAGCCGGCTGATATCCAGCAACAACACATCCTATTCTACGTGCCTGTGATTTTGTCTAATCTCTATAAACAGATATCTGTACATGAATGCAGGATGCAGTTGTAGTCTTTTGCGTATTGTTTTTATAAAACTGCTTGTGACATCTTGACCGTGGCTTTCGCTTGCAAATGAACATGTAGCCCATTCTGTAGAAAATACCACAGTACATATAGTGTATCGCCAGTCAGCCTGGAAATACAGAGATATGAATTTTTGTCCATATTGCCCAGCCTTAACTGAGGCAAATCTAACTGTCTGTGTGTGTGTGTGTTTCAGAGAACCACCTATGTGTGGCAGCAGCCGTTGCAGTGTTTCGGAGGAGAATCACTACCACCACAAAAAGTCAGTGCCTGTGTGACTCTGGATTTCTGGCTCAAGTTTGGTGTTTCCACGGGAACGATCGCTGCTGTGCTGCTCATCAGTATCAGCTGCTATTTCTGGAAGAAGACACGCAAGTGAGACTTTGGAGCTTAGCATTTCTTTTGGTGTTTTCTAAAGCACTGATATGTCATGTTAATAAATAAGATTAAAGCATAGTAAAAAAAACTCTCCCATCTCCACAGGTTGCAGTATAAGTACTCCAAGCTGATGATGAGCTCCGGGGGTAAAGAGTGCGAGCTGCCCACTGCAGACAGCTGTGCAATAATGGAGGGAGAGGACGCAGAGGACGACCTCATGGACCTCACCAAGAAGTCCTTCTTCACCAAAATTAAGTCCTTCTCACGAGAGGTCAGTGACCCCTTCATTGACACATATTGAGCTACAAATAAGGCAGCGTCTCATGCTTTATGTTTTTATCCATGTGTTTTCAGAGGACATCAGATGGATTTGACTCGGTTCCACTCAAATCATCTTCGTCACACCATCAAATACTGGAGGAAGACTCTGATGATTAATTCAGAGGATGAACAGATTCTTCTATCAAACTTTAAGACAAACCGATCCAACAGACGGAGTCACAGAAAACAGACTTTTTAAATTAATGAATAGAGTGACAGTTTTATTGAGTATTATTTGTCATATGTTAGGCTGCCAAACCTAATATTGCAATAGAAAGTCTCCATATTGGGGATATTCTGTATTTTCAAAGCCAAATTGTGTTTTTCAAACTTAGATGAGAACTAAACCGTGGATAAAGTTACAATTTTTGTACATGTGTCAGACTGTGTACATTTTACATAATTGTGAGGGTGTATTCCATTCTTTTTTTTTTTTTTTTTGGGCTATCCTGTTTTTTATTAGACCAGCCACCCAGTTCAGGCTTATAAAGTTACTGGCAACATGTGAATTATATTTGCTACAGCTTTTGATAACCTTTTATGCTGCACCTAAGATTATGATATAATCTTGCTTTGTATTTTCTACAATAAAAAAACAACACAAATGTCCATCTCGAGAAATTAAGAATAACCTCAAATGCTGCCTTAAGACCATATTCCAAAGCATAAAAATTTCTTAATAAATCACTTTGTGTTACATACATTATATGATACTTTTATGTTACTGCTTCATATGTTCATGTGTATTGTCATGTGCCTTGGATTGAAACAAAATATAGCTTTATATAAAGAGTATTTCTTCTGTGGTTGTTGGTTTAGTTAAGAATAAAAAAATGTGAATTTTAATGTCATGCACATGTAATAGATGTTTTAAATATTTAACCAAAGACTTAAATCGGCGTGTCATGATTCCAAATAACGGAAATACAAAATTTTAATCAAAAATGTCTCTCTTCTGCAATTTTCCATGGAAACACATAAAATCATAAAAGTATCACTATAAGCAGTAGTGGAATGTAACTACAAACATTAAGTGAAACACTGCACTTAAGTATCTATTTTCTGCACTGGTACTACTACTTCACTACAATACAGAGTAAAACATTGTACTTTTTACCCATTTTTACATTTTTCTGACCACTGTTAGTTACTAATTACTTTGCACATTAAGGTTTTCCTCCCAACTGGCTAATTTTCACCTGCAGTCCTTTGGCAAGATGTTTTGATACCAATAAAAAAAAAAATCACAGAATAAAAACAGCAGAAAGCCATTAAGACAGCATTAACTCCAAAAAACAGAAATTCTCAAGCCATGTAAAGCAACAAGCACCAGCATCAGCAATATAATCTTATAAAATATGTATTGTTTTAGATTAAATACCAGAAAGTGTATAAAATTGTTAAAAGTGTTGTAAAGTGTAGTAGTGCAGTTTACACATTAATGCATCAATAATCCAAAAATATACTATAAAATAATGTTATGAATATTTTTCACTTTTGATACTTCAAGTACATTTAGTTGATAATACTTTTGCAGATAAGTAAGCTTGAATAAATTGGATTTTTTTTTTTACATGTTCTCTGCCACTTTTTAAGTTAAGAATCTTAATAATCTTTCCACCACAAACTGTCGTTTTATAACTCCATGATTTCGATTATTGTTTCGATTAGGGTGTTTCATTTTTTCCCGGTAACACCTGAAAGCAGCACTGGTTTTAGTTTCCGTCTCTGTCCTCGGGCTCAGCTCGGCTCAGCTCGGCCGCGCTCGGCTGTCCCAAGTTGTTTTCTCTCGCGAGAGTTCGCGACGTGTTGCAAGCGGGGTGAAATCTCGGGAGCTGTCTGAAGGAACAAATAGCGTGAAGATTTAAAAACGTGCATTTAGCAGACGGTGATTCTGCAACATTTCGCAAGAAGGCAGCACCGTGACTTTCGATGATTTAAAGCTCTCTATCGACGATAAACGTTTAATTTCGCCTCTTATCGTAACTTGGAGGAAGTTAAACTCTGCACGGCTCGGAGTACCCACCTCGGAGCAGAAAGTCAGGTCGGTGGTCGGCAGTTGGTTCTGCAGGAATGTCGCAGAAAGAGAGACCCAAGTTTTATCGACAGGAGGTCAACAAGACGATATGGGAAGTCCCAGAGCGGTACCAAAACCTGTCCCCGGTTGGCTCTGGCGCCTACGGCTCCGTCTGGTAAGTCACTGTACATGTTAGTTTGTGAACGTTAGTGTAGCCTAGTCACCTAACTTAACCTCCATTCATTTAGACGAGGCCTGCGCTGCAGATGCTAAAGTTAGGTTAGCTGGTCCCGAGTGTTGGCTAGCAAGGTGGAGCCACGATGTGCTTTCGAACAAGAAACCCTGTTGACTTGTTATTTATGTCGTGTTATCCACCTGTAAAACTTGTATTAAACATGGCTAGGTGCATATTTACTCACACAAGCCGCACTGCAGGACGCTGCTCACTAACTATAATGTTCAACTGTTGGAAAAAAAAAGTACGTGCGTCTTTATCTGAGCAGTGTTACGATCCAGAAATGACTAATCGATCAGTATTTGTAATCACGCACTGCAGCTGCAGGTCCTGTTTTCAGAGGGTACTTTTACTTTTATTTGGAAAGATAGACTTAATTTACATAATTAGTGCAAGATCCCACCAACAGGTGATGTAATCTGAGTAAGCAGAGATGAGGTTAACAGATACTGTTGGGTGTCGCTAATGTGTTTTGGAAAAATCTCGAGAGCAAATGTTTTTGATCATGTGGCTATATTCCTGTTATTGGTGCTTTCATATAAATATGTAATATAAACTGATATTATCTAAGTGTAAATAGTGTTAGTAGTGTTGATAAGGTGGCCAAAAGATTAATGATTTCAAAGGTCTTTTCACTCATGCACAATAGTTAGATGAACTTTGTTTTGATGGTTGATTCATGAGTCGATTGACAAAAATGCATAAACAATTTGGAGCATTGATTAATCGTCATCAAGCTGGGAAAATTACTTTAACATGAGGATTTGTTGTTTTTCTGTTTATACAACTGGAAATTAAATATCCTTACTTTTTGGCTAGTTTTCTATTATTGCATAGATTAAATTATAATTATGTTAATTATAAAAAGACTGATTGGTTGATAATGCAATTCATGACAGGTCATTTCAGTGTCCTATTTTACAACTTTAATGAAAATGTCTCATTTAGGGGGTTCTGCAATTAATGTTTTCAGTTATGACAGACACATTTGCAGCACATAATCATTTGCATTTACAGTGCACATGAAATCTTGCCTGAGATTGTTTTAGCCAAGCTGCTGCTGAGGTGGATTTCCTTAATGCTCCATCTGGGCAAAGTGTAAGCTTTCATGGCATAGACCCTTTGCATTGGCCTGGTGATTAAATAGGTTGTGCTGATACTATCTAGGACACAACATTGTTGTGGTACACTTGATTTAGTGGGCAGATGTTTGTTTTGCAAATGGAAGCGGACAGCTGTGCTGTTGCTGGGCAATAGGATAATCTGTTGCTGGTCAGATTACTGTCAGCTCACCAGTGCATTGACTGGCATTGTCGTTTTTTCCAAACAGTTCACTGGCTTATGTTGTCAGTGTTTACATGATGGACTAAGTGCACTGTGAAGTTTATTTAAACTGAAACTGTGTGGCTTCACTGTTGAGATGGCACATAACTGAACATTTTACAGTTTATAGAAAACACTGATAATGATATCAGGTTATCTCAATAAGCATTATGGACTGCATTCATACAATGACTTTGTCCAAAGTGCTCACCAGTCTTTTTCACATACACACATACACACGTACACACACACACACACACACACACACACACTGATGGCAGCAAGCTACAATTGAAGGCACTGACCTGACCATTGGGAGCAATGTGGGGTTCAGTGTGGACATGCAGACAGGAGGAGAACTTCCAACCCTGTGATTAATGGACAACCTGCTTTTCTCTATTTACTGAGCCAGCCACAATATTATAGATATTTAGGGCTGGGTGTTATGAGGAAATAGAATATCCAGTTTTTAGACATTTTTGACCAAATACATAAGTATTAATATTGCACCAATATTGAAGAGTTGACTCTTGTTGCCTTCACACAATGTTTACATACTGAGATCATCATCAGTCATCAGTAATGTGGATATGATGAATAAGTTGTTAAAGGCAAATACCAGAACAACTAGAACACTCAAAACCAGGAATAGACAACACTTACCATACAATATCCAAAATCTAAGACGATATCGAGTCATATCACAAAACAGATATAATATTAATATATCTCCCAGCCTTATATTTAGTTATCAGAGTCAAAAAGTTGTCAAAGCAGTCAGTGTCTGTGCAGCTTCATTTTTCATTAAAATATAATTGCTGACACATTTTGACCAGAGGCCTTGGGAAGCCCCTTAATCTGCTTTGAGAGCTTATTTCCATGAGGTCGAGCAGTTTCTCTCTCTGAAATGCATATTTGTTATTCTTTTTTCTTAAATTATTATCCATATTGAGCCTAATTTGGTTGTAGTGGATTTGCTCTTGCTATAGATACAGTTTTTTCAGAAACATACACATGCTTTAATAGCTTGACACATGCACCTACATTTGTATTATGAGAAAAACATGTAGGTATAGGTTGATGTGCATTTGTGCTTTTGGTGCATCCCTGTTCACACTGGTTTCTGAGTCCCAGCAGTAGTTACCAGTGGCTGTCCAGCCACTGGCTGTGACTATGGTTAGGTGAGCTGAGCCGGAGGAAGTGTTGGGTTTGGCTTAGAGACAGTGAGCCTTCAGAGTGCAGGACAGATTGCAGGCAGGGCTGCTCCCAATCTGCTGAGAGATGACATTTTCTGCTGATGTCGCCCTTTTCCGCAGACTTCAGCAGCTCTTACTGCACCTCATTTGGTTTTGAGTGCAAACTCAGCCCATTTTTTCATTTTTTTTCTCATCTGCCTAAAAATGACAAGCCTACTTTTCATGTCAAGTTAATTTCCAGTTCAGAGTGTTGATTTTAATCACACATAGGTTTTATTCTTTAAATCAGTTCATGCTGACAAAAAATGTTGCATGTAAGTGGGGCTACAGAAACAAGTGTGCAATTACTGATGACATTAAAGCTTACACTTACACCACTTTTTTTTAACAGTTCAGCACATGATATGACATCATTTTCCAAGGTAGCTGTGAAGAAGCTCTCTCGGCCATTTCAGTCCATCATCCACGCCAAGAGAACGTACAGAGAGCTGCGGCTGCTGAAGCACATGAAACATGAAAATGTAAGTCGACTTGTTTCTGTTCCTTTTTCTTCTGTCTAAAGGTGAACAGTCATATAAGTTGTTTCCTTATGCAATACCTCACACTGTGTTTGCTTATTATGTTGCATACATGCTTATATTAAGGACAACAACTGCCCATTGTTGTGTGTGTTGTTAACTCTACACTGGTTTTCATATTTTTGCAGGTCATTGGCCTCCTAGATGTCTTCAGCCCTGCAACAAGTCTGAAGGAATTCACTGATGTGTAAGTTGAATGTGTTTACCTCAATGACAGTGTGCATGATCAGTGTTCAACAGACTGCAGCCTTTAGTTTTGCAGTAGACAATGCTAGCTGCGGCTGGGAAACACCTGGACACAGGCCAGCTGACTAAATACACTGGAACATTTCTTCGGCTGTTCACTATGTTAGTTATTCATCTGCCACAAGAGTCATTTCACCACCAGCTTCCTTCTCTTTGTTTCCTGCTTTCTGGCTTTGTGAAACAGATCTGCTTTGCTGGAAAACAGGTAGTTATTGTTTGTTGATGTTAGAAGTCGTTAGAACAGGGAAGTGGACATCTAGACTGTGAGGCAATCCTCAGACGTGTTTGCTGCCTCCCCCGTCCTTTGTGGAATGCCTCTTTTCTCTTCTCTACACACTGACTGACTTGTATCAAGATCTAATTGTGACGGATTTCAGTCGACAGCCGACATAAGAATGTGTCTCAACTACACGCTTGGAGTCAGATTTCACTGCCCCGTTCATTTTTAATTTCATACTTCAAACATGCCCTAATGGAAAATTATTCCTCCAGATTTGACTCATCCTGACTATTTGGGAGCTGTGTGGGAGACGGCAGTGCAGCATCAGGGGACCCACCTCATGTCTGAGGCCTTGGTCAACTGCATTGGCAGGATTATTTCTAATACCTAACATGCATGTCATTCGTGTGGGAGGAACCCCACTGAAATACTGGGAGAATATCGACTCCCACTACCAGAGGACAGGAACTTGGAGACAGTGCTCCTTGATTTTTAACCAGGGGAAATTGCAGTCACTGGGAAACAGAAAATGTTGCATGCTTGAGCTTAGTTATATAACTACAGATGAGGATATGCAGAAGCTATTTTGTGAGTAAAGACTTTTTATAAGCCTTTTCCGAGTAGTTTGCTATATGCAAATCAAATATATTCACATTTGTGTCACATGAAGACAGTCTGAGAATGCTGTCAGGGTTATACTTGCAATGCAGGGTCTCCACACTCTAATACACTGTATGGCATTTGCTATCTGAAAGAGTGCCTCTGCTCGTTCCCCCTAGAGTTTAAGGCTATATTTCATTCTCCCTGACCACTAGAAATGATGTAGATATGTGTACATCCCAAGTATTATACGCTGTTTCTGGCAGTCATCTAGTAATTTACTTCTTAAACATCCACCTTTGCTGTAAAATACTGCAGGAAAACCCTTATGCATGCTGCACTACCTAGGCTGCCTCAAGCCTCCCTGAACCCTCAGAACAGGTTGTGTTTCAGGTGCAGTCATGCCTGCACTGAGAGCTGTTCACTGTCAGATCATCCAAGATACATTTAAATGCAAAATGTAAAAAAGCTTGGGCTGATGTAGAGTACTGTACCAAAGTTGACCTTTTTCCCCTCAGTCATGTCTCCAAATAGCATCTCTCTCATGCAGCGTGTCTGCATGGCATTTTCATATTTTACAAATTGTCCATTATAAGACTTGATATCTTCATGAATTAAATTTTTTTAAGGAGAATTCCGCCGATTTATCCATCAGTCTATTTATAGGTCTTGAGGAGTGCTACTGCTAGTGTGAAAAAGTGGTGTAACTTATTTTGGGAAGGGAACTGCGAGGGATGCAATGTTGAGGAAATTAAACTTGTGACATCACCGGCGTTACTGATAACATGGGACATTTCACAGTAAGGAAGATATCTGTAGAGCTCTTACTTTGATCTTTAGATCTGGAGATCTTCCCCTTGCTTTGAACAAAACAAAACAGGAACATTTGGTGTTGGTGTAGCAGCGACTACTTTTCCTTTTAATAAACCTGCTTACGTTTTTTTTTTTTCTTTTGGGCTTGGCAGCAGCTCCCTCCTCCTCTCCCGCTTCTCCCACAGGGTTTGCTCTCCACCCAAAGATCACTGCTTCTTCCTCTTTCATCCTCCTGGTCTCCTTCGGGTTGTAGTCACCCCGGTAGCACGAGTCAATGGATGCTGCCTGGCACATGTTTGATTCTGGCAGAGCTCACTGCGGTCACGCCATCCACACTTTGGAGTTGGAGCTCTGTGCTGTGACTCTGCTGCTGCTGCACAGAGCAGACACTCACAGTTTATAGCTGTAGCATCTGTTGTCTGACCAAGTATTGATAACACATTTTACACATTTTACAAATTAGAGTTTTTTATTTTAAGGATGTGGACACTGATAGTCAAATATGAACAAAATGGGTTTTATTTAAAAAGCAAAACAATGGTGGGGCAGTGCACAACTAATGTTATCAGTGTGGGACTGGTGCATGCTCGAACACTGTTTAACACCACCTACTGCCACAAGCATAGAAGCTGCTTGAAACCTGATAAATTGTCCCAAGTGATGTCACTTGAGTCAGCATCTTGAGGCTGAAGACTGCAGGTTTTAAAAAGAAAATGTGTGAAGTTACAGATGTAATCTTAACAGACATCTGTAGCCTGCTCTTCACCTCTGCTCGAGGCTAGTGACTTGAGGCTACATTAGCTGCTACAAGCATAACACTGTTGAATCTCTGACTTAATTGTTGGCAGTTTAATTGCATTGTGGGTAATGTAGACAGTAGCTTTAGACAAGAAAGAAGAATGCATGGATTAGGAAAGACTATATTTCTGGCTCTGATGCATCAGTTTTGATCCTTATAATATCAACTATCCATTCTGAGGCTATCATTGTGCAGCAGTGCATTTCTAAATCAGTTCTTTATTAATGTGCAGCATTTATATGTCAAATTGGAACAATACTTTGCAGAGAGACATACTTCTTCATCACACTTAGAGCAGTGGAAGCTATGTTTGCTGTTGAAATGCAGATTAGCATGTCATATAAGACTGAAGGCAATACAAGATCACACACTTGATCACACTCAAGGAAGAATAGACAGAAAAGAGAATACACAGGTGGTGTGGAGCTTCTCTTACACTACATAAAGAATAAATGCTGAGTCACAGGTTGTCAGAAAGAAATATGGCTCTCTTATCTGCACATCTGCTAGAACATTGGAAATGTTTTGAGTGCATTATGACATCCAGGAAAAATCCCAGATATGCAGGTGCTGTAACTATGGCTCCCCTGGCTCTAAAAATACAGGCTGAGTCACAGCGCTGTGGTAAGGCTCCTCCAGCCATGCTCCTGTTTCTATAGGAGAGGAAAACAGAGGTCACTATTTATATCCCTTTTTTTCCAAGGCGGGTGAACTTTGGAGTGTGTCTGCGTCCCCGTGTGCTGCTCAGCACAAGTTCAAGCATAACCAGGTGCTATTTTAAGGCCTCGCTCTGTGTGCTGTGTGAGAATAGAAGAGTATTCACGAAGAGGGTATTTGTTGAGCAGCAGACTGACGAAGCAGCACATGGCTCTGTGTATTTTGGCTGTAACATCCTGCTCTCGCCTTCTTCCACAAGTGCTGTTTGGGCATTTTAAACAGCTCTGGGATTAGATTTGAATTATCCACTGATGCAGTCCCATTAAGCCCATTTATCTGGGTGTGCTGTTAAATGACGTTCCATTTGTGAAGGGCTTGGCCTTTCAGTGCCTCTGGAGAGAAGTGCGAGTGAAAAGAAGTAGCAGCTAAACCGGTTTAAGCTCACGTAGCCATATGGGAAATTAGTTTCACTGCAAACAACTCTGGAAAAAAAAATTTTTGGAAGTGCAAATATATTCATTTATATCCTTCTGGCTTTTTGTGGAGTGAAAAACTGTTGACATGTTTTCTGATGGTTGTGTCTGTTTAAACTTTTATGATTGGCAGGTATCTGGTGACTCACTTAATGGGGGCAGATCTCAACAACATAGTGAAATGTCAGAAACTCACAGATGACCACGTGCAGTTCCTCATATACCAGATCCTCAGAGGGTTAAAGGTGAGGTTTTAGTTGGTCAACAATTTGGAAGACTCACTCACTTATCTTCTTGCCAAGAATTAAGCTACTTCCACACTAATATGTTGTTTTTACTGAGTTTTGAAATGAAAACAGTCTTTGTACACAAGCATTTTAGCACTGTTACAGAATGATCTTTGTCCATACCAACTATACCTGAAAACACAATGACTATTCATGTACAACATGGATATATAAAGAGACCGGGATACAGCTTTTGAGGTGTCACCCCGTTCATTCCTATGAAAGTTGCTCAGTGGCGTGTGAAGTAAAAAACCACCATGTATAGAATTCCCCAGATGACAAATACTGCTTCTACATCACTGGGCCCATAGAGCGAGCGCACGAGAGACTTTCACCATTTTAGGCAGCTGCTTAAGGTTTAGCACTCTTTAGCTAACTTGAATAGCAATAAAATAAAATAATCTTGCGCCTCTTCTAGACTTTTCAGATGTTATCAGACTGAATTGATTGATGTGACGCTGACAAAAATGTATGCACTGATTTTAAGGACACCTCTTCAACTGTGTAAGTCTATGAGAAAAAGTATTTTTGGCCCCAGTAGCTTGACACTGAGTTCAGAAGTTATAATTCCACTGTTTTGCCACTATAAAAATTGGCTTTAAAGCCTGATGCACTTCCTAAAGGCCTTACGTATACTAGGCATGGGGTGCCAGTGGAAACAGGAAGCAGATTGTCTACTCTGAGTTCAATGTCAATGCGTTTTTGTTTTTTTTTGTTTTTTTCTTTTTTCTTTCTTACTTTACAGTTGGATCAAAAATCTCCTTGCCAAGTCATTTTTTACTTTCCCTTATACTTTCTTTTTTTTTGGCAGTTATTAAATAATGATGAAGACTTAAGTTAACTGTCATGAAAAATGATCTCATTTTATTCACCTTGATCTCAAACTTGCGGCAAACTGCGCAATATATAGTTGGACTTTCATCCACATCCCACCAACTAAACTCCTGTTTTTTTTTAACCACTTGCATGATCGAGCCATTGTTGAGCCCTGCTACTTTGCAGTAGATTGCACAGTTACAGAAAATATTATAGAGGAAAAGTAAGACCAGAGAGACCAGACAATTGATAAATAAATAAAAGTAACACGATAAGGCGGTCAAAGATGCAGAAAACAGGGGGACATACTAAAGTGGTACTGGAAGCATTATCCATTGCAGTAGGACACCATGTCAGTGGGAAAGGAGTGAAGTTAGCCTGAAAAAATAGGTATGTAAACCTAGCTTTAATGTTTTTCTTGACACGTCGGGACTGCTGGGGCTCAATCAGTTTGTGAACGTGGGTGTCTTTGTCATCTTTTTCCAAATGCTTCATATCCACCTGACAAGACTAAAACCAAACCCTGCAGTTTTCAAGCTAAAATTAGGTTATAGTGTTTTCAAAATTCTCTGTTTTCGGAGTTCAGAAACACCGGAGTGTTGTGATGTAAATATAGCAGTAGTTGTGCATTTTAAAATGAAACCATATTGGTGTGGATGTAGCCTAAGATGAGAAGATCGATGCCACTCTCATATCTGCCTAGCTCAGCATAAATACTAGAGCCCTGAAGTCTCTGCTGGTTGCCTGGCAACCCCACAGTGAAGATAAGACCATGGGTAGTCCCTTCACACGGCCACAAAGTAGACCGGCACACAACCTCTCTTAAAACCACCACTTTTAGTTTGTACTCTTTGGTTTTTGTGCAGGCATTACATGTTAATAAGTGAGCTCCAGGAGTTGGTTACATTCGAAAAGAGCCAAGCTAGCGGTTTCCCCCTGCTGCTAGTCTTTATGCTAAGTTAAGCTAACTGCCTCATGTCTGTATTTAGTAGACAGTTATGGTAACAGAGAGTGGTAACAGTGTCTCATCTAACTCTCAAAATGTTAGATGAATCAGTGGTTCCTACAATGTACTGACATTATCTATAGTGTTTAATCAATACATCTCCAAACTGATAATGGAATTTAATGCTCATGTTCTCCTCCATCTCTCTGCAGTATATCCACTCCGCAGACATCATTCACAGAGTAAGTGCCGTGTTTGTTTTTTGTCTGACAAATGTCAGACTTTGTCTTTGACTCCAAATTTTTAAAAAATTTTTTAAAGAAGTGTGTCAGGGTTTATGACAGCTTCCACTTGGCAGAGTCCGGCCTGTGCCTTGTGCAAACACTGAAGAGAAGTCGTAAACAGGACCTTTACTTTTACATGGTGTTGATGATGTCATGCTTCTATTTTAATGTCAACAACAAAGGGACAGATTTATTTCCACCATTAAATAGGAATAGTTCTCCAGTTTAAGATTTCAGATGTGCTGTCCTTCCAATTTTATGGGCATCTCTTGAACTTAAATTACACTAATTCACATTCATGACTTTCCTTTCCACAGGATTTGAAACCTAGTAATCTGGCGGTGAATGAAGACTGCGAGCTTAAGGTCTGTGAGCTGCTGCTCTTATAAAAAAAATACCAGTTTGTACTGAGTCCACACATGTGAATATTTTGCAAACAGCGTTTTGTTTTGCACTTCAATCACTCCCAGATTTTGGATTTTGGTTTGGCACGGCACACTGATGATGAGATGACTGGCTACGTGGCCACCCGCTGGTACCGCGCACCAGAGATCATGTTGAACTGGATGCATTACAACATGACAGGTAGTTTTTTGATTGATTGATATGTCCCTATTTTTGTGACATGCATATGAAGTGACCAACCCTCATAGGTTTACAAGACACAGTTTCAGTGGTCAAACATTTCATTACATTACAAGATTACAGGTTATTTTACAGCTTGGTCTTACACTAAGTATATTGCCTTCTCTCCCAAGCTTTACAAATGAAGTCTGCAACACAAAAGCTCCCATTCTGAAGCATGACTTAAGTTTTTCGTGGTCATCTAGCCAAAAGAAATCAGGTCATTTTTACTAAAACGCACATTTCTTATGTCCTTTTAAAGCAAAACATGAACCTCATTCTCAGTTTCACCTGGCTCACACACTAAAGTCTATGCTCCTCTAGTGTGACATTAAACCTGCTGGTCTCTAGAACTAATGGTAGTGTTCCTGAGTGTAACTGTGCTTTGTCTTATAAATGATACTTCACATAAAGTTCTACACTGACTGTAGCTATTCTTTATGTGAAAATAAGTTTATATAGTATATCAAACACAGACTATTTTGCTTTATATTTGATTAACATTTTGCCCCTGATTCCCTGAATATCACACACACTAACCTGTTCTGTAAAATCAAAGACAAATTGTTCAATTAAATTAATGATTTCAACTCATGAGCCCAGGGATAACCATGAAAAATGTCCCAGTTGAATCTAACATTGTAAATTACATTTAAAAGATCATCCTCAGTGACTCTCTGCACCTATCTATCATGATAAATGAGCTGTTTAATGAGTGAATATTAATGTTTGTGCTTCTCTGTTTCAGTGGATATTTGGTCAGTGGGCTGTATAATGGCAGAACTCCTTACTGGAAAAACTCTTTTTCCTGGAACTGACCGTATCCTTTTTCATTTGAGAGTACAGTGTGTTCAGAGCTCCCATAGCTGGAGAGACATCATTTGTATAATAAATCAAATGGGTTAAACTCACATTGATGTTGTTGCTGAAGTGCTGATTTAGGATGTTTTTTTTCTCGCACAGTAGCAGAAACTGAGCTGCAATGCCTCTTTTCTGTGCCCTCTCACCAAAACCTGCTTTTCTGCTTTCTCTTCCAACACAACGCTGCCTGAGGTGTATTTAAATATTAAAAATGTAACACAGATAGTACCTGTTTCCACGCTTCTCTCTGGCTTGACACATACCCTTCACAGTAATGTTTCCACTGACGTGCTTCAGCTCTCCCTACACCGTCAGTATGCACCGTTGGCTCGGGTCCACTTTCTGCCACCACTGCCAGTCTTTGTATGGGCCTATCAATCTGCACTGTCTGTTCTCAATATTTTGTTTATTTTTCTCTCCCTCTGTCAGTGTTTTCAGACTTACGGCTGAGCTTGTACGTTAAGTGTACCACAGGGCTGCCCACTGCCTCAACCTTTACTGTGTTGTAAGCTGTCCACTTGTTTCACATACTTTCTTTGCTCTGTGAAGACGTGTGTGTGTGTAGGCTTTTTCTTTTCTTGCATCTCATGTGTGAAATATAAAGTAAATGCAGTGAAATTTAGCATCACTGATGGTTTTTAAGTGACATAAGTTTCATAAGGAGGATGAAGACAGATTACAAGTTGTCCCTTGTCCAGCCTCTGGTCTTCCTTTACCGTGTGCCGGTAGACATTGATCAGTTGAAGCTAATCATGATGCTCGTCGGGACACCAGGGCCTGAGCTCTTGATGAAAATATCTTCAGAGTCTGTGAGTTCATACGATGTGCAAGGTTTCTCTCTAACCAGTTTTCTCCTCTAATCTTGGCACTCTGTTAATAACCTTGGTGTATCTGCTACCTAACTGACAGCATGTTTTCCAGCTTTCAGCGTTGTTGGTTTCAGACTTGCTTCCTGCCTCCTTAACTGGGTGAATTAATTTACATTTGTCATGATGTGTGATAATGACCCAGGTGATTGAGCTCTGGCTTTCACTGATTGACTGTAATTCTTCTCAGTCTTGACTGTTTTTTTGTCACATTTTGCTTCCGAGCTTGAAGCTTGCTTTTAAGTATAACATTGTAGATCATGTAGTCTTTTTAGCCGCAGTGTTAGATTGAGAAGCAGCTTCTTAACCAACTGTGCTCTGTCGCTATACTCCCCTTGACACAAGCTTCATAGATATAAACCAGCTTCAGCAGATAATGCGTCTAACAGGAACGCCCCCAGCATCTCTAATAAACAGGATGCCCAGCCATGAGGTGAGCAGGATCCACAGTTACTTTCTTTAGACCAGACAGTAGGCCGCGGCGGGAGGACACTCAGACCTGATGTAACCTTTGCTTTGCTTTTAAAGCAACGCAGCTCTTGGCTTAGTGTCCTATATTTATCCTGACACTGCTAACCCAAGATGGGACCATACTAACATATATAAAATAACAATAGCAGCATTTGATGCCAAGATTGAACTGTGTTAATCTTTCTTAAACTTTAATTGTCTTACCTTTTAAGTGGGGTTGTATGAGGTACTTAAGTTGAGCTCCTAGTCAGAAATTTCACCTTGAATGCACCCGGGAGTTAGATTCTAACAGTATTTGAAACTTAATATATTGCTTATTTGCACTTTTGTGTTACTTTTGTCTCATTAAATCTGTCATACACACAGCCCTGTCCAACTTCTATCTGTGGACATGTTGCTACAGTGTTTGTATGCCCAAAATACAGTGTAATGTATTGTCATCAACTCATATTGTTAACAGTGGCACGCCTGTCTGGAACTGGTATTGTTAACAACTTGGTTTTCCGACTTGTTGTACCGGAATGCTGTCAACTAGGGTGTGTTGTCATTCCCAGCTCTGACCTCCAGCTCACGAGGTAAATGGGACGCTGTGTTATCCATGGTCAGTGTAAATACCTGCAGTAGATGGCTGTTGGCACACTGCTGTGGACAGGGGGCAGCAGCAAAACATCAGTTTAAGTGTACTCTAGGATATTTTCAACACTTCCCCTTGCTGTCAGACGGCCCTCTCTGACAGGGAGCTGAATCTTCAACTCGTCTAGGCTCTCTTTAAAGCCACCAAACCCTGTTGACAAAAAACATTCGTTAGCATAGCAACAGAGCTGCTGATCTACCGCTGCCACAATCAGTTTGTGTTATTGGGTAAGTTCAGTGAATCCAAACTAACCCTTTAAATCCCCAAAGTCAAACAATGACTCAAACTAACTTACCGATTTAGGCAGCGGTAGACCAGCATGTCTGTAAAATTAGTGTTTTTGTCAAAGATGGTGGCTTTAAAGGAAGCAATGTAATGGTTTCATCTCCTTGTCAGAAAGAGCTCACTGACAACAAGGTGAAGTGGCAAAAATCTGCTAAATATAGAGTACATCTAAACTTATATTTATTTTGTGCTGACTGCCATCTACTGTAGGTAGTACACAGAGCGTGGATAAGTACCTCATACAACCCCACTTCAAAATAATATTCAAACTATCCCTTTAAGTGATAAGGCTACGAAGGTGTTAACAGCCACACTAATAAGTGCACCACTCAGTTGACTCAAACTACTTTGGTCAAGTGAGGTGTGAGGAACAGCATTGCCTGTAGAAGCTACTTTCTGCGATGTAAGATTTTAATTATCAAGTTTAATCCTAGTAATTGTATGTACTCTGACACGCTCGCTGCATGAGATTGTAACAATGACTGCCGGAAGTGGCTCTGAACGTGTGTGGTAAAGGCATTTGCGTGCTTGTCATTTCATTCGGGTGGTATTAAAATACCTCCTCAGAGTTAAACATGCACACTATGTGCTGTAGCGAGGCTTTCTGTTGGTAATACAGCAGTTACTAACAGCACTTTCTGTGTGTAAGATGCATTATTCTGTGGTTTTCTTTCTGTTTGTGGTTCTGCACACTTGACTTCTTGATTCTGTCAACATGTTTTTGTGTAATTTTCCAAATGATAAAATACCTGCCAGCCTACAATCTAAAATTTTCTTTTATACCGTGAGAATTATTATCAGGAAAATCATAATGAGTAAGATAAATAAATCTGTCTTTTTTCCACTGGTATTTTCACAGGGTATTTTCTCTTTTACAGGATATTTGGGGCTTGCTGTTTTCAGTTTTTAATTTATAAGAAAAAGAACTGCATTTATTTAGTTTTATTATTTAAAAAATACTAAAATAGAGTAAAAAACATGATGAAAACTGTATATTGAAATAGTATTTGCATCACTTAAACCGTTGAACTGGACACAGTGACAGAGAGGGCCACATCACAATGTTTTTCCTCTGTGTCTTGCTGTTGTGAGGCAACATGTCAGGGCTGTCAATCACACGTTTGCCGCAAGCTACATAGCAAAGCTATCAACAGCTGCTGCGTATGTGTTTATGACTGCCTGCATCTCACTTCAGAAAGTCAGAAACCCCACGGCGCTAAAAACTTACCTGAAACTTCTCAAAAAAAAGTGGACCTCTTTAGTTTATGTCACTGTATTTTAACTATTCATTGTAAAAGGAGGACCTTGTTTGCTGTAAACTGCACTGATCTGCGTCATCATGCACAAGGAAACACAACAACCTGTGGTGCGTGGGGGCATGAAAATAAGGGTGAAAATAATTATTTTTCATTGAAGATCTGTAAAAAAACTAAAACAGTGAGCCTCAAGTGTACTGCAGACACCACCATATATACTCTTATTAGTATTTCTATATATTCAGGGTTATGTGACACAGTGTAGTCAGATCTGTACATAGTGATAAGTGAGCTGTAATAATCTGATGCAGGTGGCTGTATTGAACAGAATCGGTAGCATGGAAATATGTGAGCATTATGAAACAGGCGGTGCTGAATGTGGGCGACATGTTGCTGCTGGTGGGAGCTGACATTTGATTTACTGTGTGCATTTTCACAGGCCAGGAACTACATCAGCTCCTTGGCACAGACTCCCAAGAGGAACTTTGCTGATGTGTTCATTGGTGCCAACCCACTCGGTAAGACCAGACATCTGCTTTATCGTGTTGTGGTGACACAGCCCTGCTAACTGCAATTAATCTTTTCTTTTTTGTTTTTATTGGTTTAAACTAAACTTGGGTCAAAACTCTCAAATCAAAGACAAGTTGATATTTAGCTGTGTTTACATGTTTTTAAAGCTGTGGACCTCCTGGAGAAAATGCTGGTTCTGGACACAGACAAGCGGATAACAGCGGCCGAGGCTTTGGCTCACCCATACTTCGGCCAGTATCACGACCCAGACGACGAGCCAGAGGCCGAGCCCTATGACCAGAGCTTTGAGAGCCGCGAGCTGGAGATTGAAGAGTGGAAACGTATGTCATTATTCTACACAGAAAGTCTGTAAAAAAAAAAAAAAAATCACATAATTTAAGTGATTGGTATGCAAGAAACATAATATAAAGGTTTGTTTCTCGAAAATGTTATTTATGTTTCCTGACATGTCCCTCGTAGTGGGCATTGTGTCAGTCTTTTTCACAAAAAGTAGATTACAGTACAGTACATTCACATTACAGCTTTAAACACAGGTTTGAATGCACCAAATGCATCCTCAGTGTGTTGAGATCCGATTGCTCAGAGCACATTCGGAGGAGATCTGGGCCACATATGGCCACATTCTTTTAGCAAAGTGTACACTAATGTTTCCTGGGCCACCACCTAATCAGCTGATGGCATTGCTTATCTGACACCCCATCGGATAAGCAAACCATTTTTTGCTGCCTCTACACAGATCAGATGCAGTGTCCTCTGAGCCACTCTCCTCCCTGCAAATAGTCAGGTCAACATCTGCCTGGTTAGCACAAGCTAACACAGCAGCACGTATTCAACGGTCACAACAAACTCTCATTTGACTCTGTTGTTAAACCAGATAATAACCGTAACATAATGTTAGCCGTGTAATGATGTGCACTGTATGTGTGTGCGGGTGGACTCTCACCAACTGTCCCTGGCGTAGTGGACCCCACACTTCCGCAGCAGTAATCTCGTAGTGGTGGGGAGGCAGAGGGACTGCAGCCAAGGTGTGTCATGATAAACAGAGAGAGCAGAGCGAGGGGGGGCTGAGCAAATCAGTGGGCTGCACGCAGGTCTACAATGAAATGTGTTGATTTTTCCCACTTTTTAAAAGCCTAGTAAAGAGTGTGGATAATGCACAACAAACAACACTGCTTAAAAACAATGCCACATTTGGACAGATCTATTTGCATGTAAACTGGGAAAGTAAGATCTGATCACTAGTCGTCACTTGAGACGCACGTGGGGATGTATTCTATTGCCAGATGTGAACAGACAGACAGACAGTTGTCCTCTTGTGATTGGATTACCTTTACCCAACAAAGGACATGGGTTAAAACGTGAATTTTGAAAGGCTTAAAATGAACATACAAATCTTAAATCTTTATATCATATAGTTAAGACTCTCATACATAAGAACAACAGAATATATCTATAAATTTGATCATATATGTCCCTTACTGCCATAAAATGTGTTAACTTCAATCCCCACTTTTTGAAAAGACAGAAGATGTTCTCTTGGTCACACCCCCATGTTTGCACAGGAAAGCCCAGGATGTGCCTCTCACAGTACATTAGGACTTAAACTGCATGAATTGTGTTTGAGATAAAGGCCTCAGTGTCATGTCCTCCACGGAGAACAAATATGAATTGCTGGGTCTGCCGTACTGACAGTATAAAAACCCTGATATGTATTTGAACAGTGTCTCATTTTTTGCAGGATTAACCTACGAGGAGCTGTGTAGTTTTGAGCCACCTATCTTTGATGAGGATGACATGGAGTGAGGGGACGTGCTTCCCACATCGACCCCGGCCGCCGACAATTTGTAACAACCTCAAACATGTGCATTCGTGTTAAACTCTAAGACACATTTGTATCAGAGTGCCTGCCAGCCTTTGTCAGTCTGTATTAACCAAGAAAACTTTGTCCACGAGTAGCTCTCGTTAGGAGGTCATTACCAGCGCAGGGAAAGGAAGAGCTCGACCAGTTATCATTATTCTTATTTATGAACCACTAATGTTGAAGGTCTGTTGCTGGGAAATGTCACTTCTTGCCAATAGCTGAAATCATTTTATATTCTTCATATTTTTTTTTTTTTTTTTTTAAATTTAGATTTTGATGACTCGTCACTGTGACACTGAGATGCTGAAACACCTGGACCTATAGCTGTGCTATTTTGTGTTTTTAAATTTTCTGTGGAGTAACTTATGAATAAGCTTCCATCAATTGAAAAAGGAATATGCTAGTCTACCACTCGCCCTGCCAAGCTGTCACATATAGCACTGGGTCACATGTGTTTGTTAAACGATTCAATTATATTGTTCCTGTATTTAAAAAGAGATGATTCTGAAGGGTTTCATATCTGTGACAGAAGTAAATTTGATGTTTTTAGGTATTTGACAATTTGAGAATGTGCCTGTTCTGTGTAGTCACTGACCTTCAGTGCTCGCCAACTGAATATCACACGTTTTAATGGTTATTTTGATAGTTTAGATGCTCTGTGAGTCATATTGTGGCAACACAGAAATATCTGAGCCTCTGCTGTTTGAGAGACAGTGCTATTCAACAAGACACCCGAGTAGGAATAAAAATATTCGTAATGGGTACACGCTCTACTCAAAAATATGTAAATATCTGTGCGTAATTTTTTAAATCTCTGACTTATTGTGCTTACGTTCTAAAGCAATCACTTTTAGTATGTACATCAGTTAAAGACTTGTGTGTGCGTTTGCGAGAGTGTGTTGTTGGTTTACAGGAATTTTAAGTGTCATGCTAAAACCTCTAATAGAAATACTGCTTAAATGTGTAAAAGAGGGATTTCAGATGTATTTATACTGTGTGGAGGTGGTATTTATAAACAACAATCGAAAGATCCCTTAAACTATTTTCAGTCCAGCAGAGTAACTACTATCATCAGTCCTTTGTTTAACAAAATAAAGACTTATTTTTAAGAGACCTAAGTTGTTGTCATTTTTAAATTCCTTATTTTCCAAAGACATTTTTATCAACAGTGCCAGTCCTCAGTGATTTCACTTGATAATTAATAAATTAATTGATGTGGATGATTTTACCAAGAGGACAATGACCTGCATAGTGATTTTGCATTTTGAAAATACATGATATGTCATTACATTTACTGGCACAATATCAGATTTTCAGTACATGATTATCATGGCCAAAAGAGTTCATGATGACAATATCAAGATATTTGTGGAAAATTGAAAAAAAAAAAAAATATTATCAGTCACATTCATCCTTAGCTTTATTTATTGTGTGTATTTTTTTTTCCTTCTTTTTGGCAAGCGAATTGTACTCAAAATACAGGTGTAAGGATGTGGAGAGTGTCTGTAACCAGAACTGCAATATCATAAATAAAGAGTAATTCCACTTACAGGACAGTGAAAAGGCAACCAGATGGTGTTCAGGGAAGGAGACAAACTGATAATGTGAAGAAAGCGTAATGAATTAAGATGGACTGGATTACTTGTGTATCATTAACATAATGTCAATATATACTTTTTAAAATGGTTATTGTCAGTGTCGGTATATTGCTTCATCCCAGTGCATATTTTGTGGTGGGGTGAAATCAACTTAACACAGACATAACGTTTGGACACGTTTTCCAAAAAATAACCAGATATTCCAGTGCAGAAAAGCCAAAGTTTTGGTTTAATGGTAATTTGAAAATAGTGCATAGACACTAAAGAATACTTTGCAAATTGGCTAAGCTGTTACTTACAGTTTCCAGGTGATTTGCCAAGGTCAGTGTAGATTTCTGACCCACCATTTCCTTTGGTGTATCTAGCACTCAACTTTTGGGGTCATCTTTGCATATTTTAAACCTATTCTAGACACTTCTTTTAATTTATGTCAGAAAAATAAGATTAGATCATTTAGAATATTAATAACAGCTGTCTTAGGTTATATTTTGGACCCCAAGTACGACCCTGCAAATGTTAATACTGCTGGCAGTGGTAGTGTGGGGCATCTTTTTGCACACCACTGTCAGTTTCAGTCTCTAAAGTGGATTTTTTTTTTTTCCATAGAACCGTCAGACATTTGGTTTGTTATTTGAATTAAAATTTAACACAGGCCACAGATAAACCATTTCATCACCTCACCCTCCATCAAGTAGATTATTTGACACTGTACACACACTTCAAGGCAGGCATGTCCAAAGTCTGGCCTGGGGCCAGTTGTGGCCCCCTGACCAATTTAAAACGGCCCTCAGCTACACTATATGTGGCCCACCAAACAATATTGGTCAATCAAGCATGATCACTTTGCATTTTTTGTCTTCACCTACATACAGTTTGTAGACATGCATCATGAAGGAACTACACAGGCAAAAGGAATGTGTTTACACAATAAGACGCTAATAATGCATCTGTTCACTTTAGCCTTCAACTAGCTCTGACTTTCCTGATACAGGTCTGAAACTCTTTACACTTTTACTTTCTATTTACGCTTCACGCTGCTCCAACTCTTTTAAAATCTTACTTGACTTTATGATTTGCAGTTTTACAACTCTATTATTTAATGAATCAGTTAATCCATGTTTTAAACTGTTTTAAATGTAATTTTATATTGAACTGCCTTGTCTGTTTTATGTCCAATATGTCTATTTTCATTTGAAGCACTCAGTGCTTATACTGCCCTTACTGTAAAGCACTTAGTGCTGCATTTCTTGTATGAAAGGTGCTATATAAATCAAGTTTATTATTATTATCATTATCATAATGTCAGCAAGAAAGTATGTTAGTATGTCAAATGTATTAATATAGTGCTTTTCATAGACATAGGCAACAAAGTGCTTGACAAGGCCAATATACAACATACAAGAATAAAAACATAGAAGATGGGGCGTCTGTGGCTTGGTGGTGGAGCGGGCGCCCCACGTGCAGGGCTATTGCCGCAGTGGCCCGGGTTCGAGTCCAGCCTGTGGCCCTTTGCTGCATGTCATCCCCTCTCTCTCTCCCCCTTTCACACTTAACTGTCCTGTCCATTAAAGGCAAAAAATGCCCAAAAAATATCTTTAAAAAAAAAGAAAAACATAGAAGATAAAGCAACTCCCAGGGCTACAAATCAAAGCAAAGGGAATGGTTACCTAACAGCAGTTGTTACTAGGTAGCAGACATGGCTCCATCAATGAAGCGTTTGTTTGTGATTTATTTTAAATAACCCATTTAATGATAGAAGCAGCTGCCCCCCAGGTATTCTCACATGATCTAATCTGGCCCCCATTCATAAAACTTTGGACACCCCTGCTTTAAGGCAATATACTGTAGCACTGTCTCACATTGAAAGCAAATAAAAGGTTAAATAGATCTGGCAGTGCCATTAGTACTGCCACATGTGACACTTCTTTGTAGCAGGCTGTTCACTCTCTGTGTTTGCCTGCAGCTTCTGTGGAGTAAAAACCATGAAACATGGTCTGGTGCTCAGGTGGAGACATCACTGGGAAGCTCCCCCTTGAGCAAAACGACCCAGTGCGCATGCGTGGAACATTCGATCACTGGTGGTGTAGCTAACGGCTAAGCTACGATTCCAGCCAACATGGAGAGGAAAGGTAAATCTTTACACCGACACGCCGCACACTGTATGAGCAATGATAGCCCGTGTGTGTGTTGACAGTGCAGTTGATGTTCCTCCGCGGTCACAAATGTAAAATGTAGCCGAGCTGCATGCGTTCAGAGGGTGGTTTAATTGAACGCGTCTGTCACGCACTGTTGAGCTGGAGCGAGCTACGTTAGCTCTCTAGACATTAGCTTTAGCTTCAGTGGGACATGTCAGGATTATGTAGCTGCGTTTAGCTTTATAGCTCTGTCCGTGTAACCCCCAATACCTTTAACACCGACAACATTAAACAGCCGCTATTGTGTTAACCGAGCAGCTAGCCACCTGAGTAAAATTACTATAATGTTACACTGTCGTTACAGTCGTTTAGAAGAACGGTTACCTGGGTAGGTAGCTTACTGATGTAGCTTTACTTAACGTTAGACGGCTTCCAGTATCAAACCGGGTGACTGGCAGCCCGACAGATAGACCGTAATTGTGATTTAGATGTTGGAAATTATAAATGTGGGATAAAACAGTGCATAATGACCGGGCAGGATGAGGTAGTTGTACGCTTTGCCTCGGACAGTGTCATCCTTTTTGTCTTGAGTGTCAAGTAGACAACAAACGGCTTCTAGACAATGGCAAGATAACTGGTCACTGGTTTCTTTTGACAGTTCTGGCACTCCAGGCGAGGAAGAAGAGGGGGAAAGCAAAGAAGACCACCAAAAAGTGAGTTTATCTGTTCATTTTGTATATGACAACCTCAAGCATGCATTTGGTCCCTTCAGTCAGAGTTGGTTGATTGTTACAGCTTGACACATGCACTGTGTGTGCATGGTCCAGATGTTAAGGTGTGAAACTAACACAAGGTCCTTGACTGCATGCTTGCATTTTATTTTGGTCTCTGCATGATCCAAAGATAAGGAAGTGTAAGCCTGGTTAACATACCTCAAAAGAGCACTCTGGGTTGGTTTCCATAGCTTTCCATTTTTGCATGGAGGTTCAAGTAAGGGCATTAGCATTATTCATTAGGACAGTTATTTTTATGAGATATAAATTGTACGCTGCCCGTATAGAATGTGCAGTGTTCATTGCCTGAAATAAACCACCCGAAGACTATGTCCTACTATAGAAATAGTTTATGAATGACTGCATAAAGATAATGTGACATGTAGGGCTCGAAATAGACCGCTCAAGTGTTGATCTCCAATACTGATTGTTTTGGTGCACCTAACTATTTACTAATCATGCCATCAGTGGCATCCTCCGGAGTGTTACATAACAGCCTGAGCTATATTTAAAACCAGAGAATGAAGAAGCCCACATCAGCCCACCGAAGCATGGTATTTCACTGAAAACGGCACTACTGCAGATACTCACCTCCTGATAGTGTTATCCTCATAGCTGAAACATTCATCATCATATGATATTAAGAAACTAATTAGAACGTAAAACAGTACAGTTGCATGCAATGGTGATGCTTGCATGCTGAGCACCATGTGCACAGAAGAGCAGTAGCACTTGTAGTGAAGGACATCACGGACATAGCAGCTATAGCTCTGAATCAGTTGTCAGGATGAATATCAGTTTAATTTAAGCCTCTCAGGGGAAAATATACATCAGAACAACTCAAATATTAGACACGAAGTTTCCTTCGCACCCACACTAATAAGCACCACCAAGAAATAGGTGCACCCACCCAAAATTAGAGCAGCCATGTATTTTCCTTTCATGAAAATCTGGCTAATTGGAGAGTGTGTGGCTCCACATTTAAGTAATGATATTACTTTGATGCCACCCTGTCTTCATTCTTTGATTGTCAGTGAAGAGCTGTGACTGAGTATGAGAAATGAGAGGATTAATTATCACCAAATCTGATTGCTTCCTACAAATGTGTTATTAATTACAAGAAACTCCGTTATGCAAGAGTAGCTAATGCATTTCACATTCATTTAAAAGTCAAAATTCAGTTCAAATGATTTAGTAATTAATTGCCGCAGTTTGTTCTGGTGCACAAACATGCCTTAAAAAACCTCTCTGCTTCAAATAAGCGTGTCAGACATGAATAAGTAGGTTGCAGATTATGTGGAAACCAGCAGCTCATTTGTGAGACACTACAGACCAGTTTGGGAATTTATTTGAATGTGATCTCAGCTCTCTTGGCTCCCGTGGTGATGAGCAGCCTTAATCTGCTCTGTGGAGGAAGTAACATCAGGCTGCCTGGCTTTCAAGTTAATATTAGGAACTGAACTGTTGGCAAACACAGATATAGGATGTAGCACGTAGATACACAAAGTGCTCAAATGCCAATGTGATTTTCATACTTTATAAAATGACTGAATATGGTGTTCTGTGATTAGAAATATTCTTAGCTGTAAAGCCACTTCATTTTTCCTACACA